TTCATCGTTGCCGTGTCCGTATCATACAGTGCGTAGAGTTTTACGCCGTGAATTTCGCTTTTCTCGCATTCTTTTTTTTGGAAAGCGCTAGCCTAAATTTGGAAAAATTGATAGGCAGCCTAGGCTCAAGATGTGTGCAAAAAATTATGAAAAAATTAGTGTCGTATGTTGAGAAAACAACTTATTTTGACTTGTCATTCTCCAACGTTACTTGTCTTCAATATAGTTGAATATCTCGGAAGCCACTGTAAATTTCGAACTGAAATTTTTAGCAATTACTATGTGCCCTGCTGAAAGCATAATTGTTGAATTTGAAGAAATTTCTATGTTCGTATCTTGCAATGTAAGCGAAACTTTTGCCTCAGGTTGACCTCAATATCAAATCTGAACTTTTGTGGTTTAAAATTTGCTCACTTGTAGTTTTGCCTCTTTTAACAACTGTCTAAATACACCACTATGTTGTCCATACAAGACTTGTTTCCTATCCCCCACAAAACCGCTGTAAAAACAACGCTTTTTGACTTGTAATCGCGGCTTCCTGCAGCATTCCCCACGGCCATCTGCCCAAACACGCTGCTGCCGCGGATTTGCTCAGACGCAATCTCCGCAAATCCCTGAGTCATCAAGCTTGATTGCCTGAGGCGAACGGTCCAGCTAGCTCCACCCTCGCGGGCCCTGTTTGATCAGCGGGCCGTTTCGAGATTTTAATCCCTCATTAAAAGCGACCCCGGTTTTTGGACCGCTCGCACTCCAACGGTGGGGGTGGATGCGGGTGGAGGATCAGTACAAAGTGGTTCGTTATGATGTAGGCTTGTTGTTTGAAGTGGGCTCAAAGTGCGGGCGGCGAGGGGGTTTTCTCAAACAATCAAATTTTTGTTGAAATTTTAATTTTGCGGGTTTAAAAAGGATGATTTTGGATACTATAGGATGGATTTATAATATTTAGAAATGGATTTATAATATTTTTGTAGTGAGTTCGACAAACTGCACTGTGCAAAAACAAGTTGGCGTTGCACTTAATGGTGTTTGCACCGGGATTTCGTAAGGTTTTTAGCGGCCCCGCGTCAACACAATCGGGATTTTTAGGGAAAAAAGCAAAAAATAATAAATTTTCTCACATTTTTTTGCCGAATTTCGGGAAGAAATTTGCACTTTTTTCGCATGTTTTTGTCGCTATCTTTGCCAATTTCGAACGGAAAAAAATGATTCTTTGCAGAAACACTAAATTCTTCTGTAGAACTCGCATGAAACTTTGCATGCTAAAATTCTTAAAAAAGTTTTTTTTTTCAACTTTCGACCCAGAAAAATCTCAAATCTCGGTCATTTGAGCAAAGCGCGAGCTAGAAATCTTGCACATTTCCTTGAAAAAATAGTATAATATATGTGCTAAGTTTCATTAAAGTCTGAGCGTCGCACTTGTAGCACTTCTCCTATGAGAATACGGCTAAACTTGTAGCAATTCCCCTCTAACATAAGTCTCTCCCAAGTTCCTCAATCTGAGCGCCGTTTGGAACACTTCCCCCGTTAAAAAAACACGTTTCATTTTTTTGCTTCAGCTACGTATATGTTTTCTTTAGGCGTTCTACTATAAAAAGTGAAGTGATTTGTCATCCAATCGCGTTATTTTTAATTTTGATATTGTTTGCTTCAAAATAGCCGTTATTTTCTTTCATTCTGTCGGGAAAATAATGAGCATAATGTTGTTGGGCCGATCGCGTCGCTGAAGTGAAAAGCAGCTCGACTTTGCGACACAATTTATTTACCCGGCAGCGATGTATTTTGCGAAAGAATGCTCATTATTTTCCCGACGGTTTGATAGATGAGGTTCAAATTCTTCGTGCAAAAAAGCAATTTCTTTTCAGCGCAAATCAAAACATCATAATAAAGTTTCTTTGCGCTTGATTGTTTGGTTGTTTGGGTTTAACAATTCAGCTGCAATCTATGCTCTTCGTTTCCTGTGATGGGCAAAGGTGAAGTAGTCAAAACTTCTGGGGAAGGTCGGTCACTATTTGCATTTTCACAAAGTACCTGGACATTTGTCGCGGCCCGCACCGTGCCCAAAACTCCCCGATTTTTTGCACAGTGCACTCACATTTTTTTGGTTTTGCACTGTGCATTTGAGAACTAAACGTGGAGAGCGGTCAGAGAGAAAAGCGCTTTTTGGCCATAATTTTGGCAGTTTCGTGCGGAAAGATTTGATTTTTTGTAGAAACATTATCCTTTACGGTTGAAATAGGCATGAAACTTTTCGTGCCAAAATTCGGCAAAAAGTCCTAAATTGCACCGTGCAATTCAAAAGTCGCTGCGACATAAGCTTTTTTAACTATTATATAATATATCGCGCCGCAAAAAAAGTCTTCTCACCTGACTATCGGTCTGTCGGGAAAATAACGGCGGATCGTCGCGCCTGGGAATCGCCGATCATCGCTTTGCGACTACAAGCCGCGGCTTGGGATTTGATGCGCGATAGCGGCGAGGCGAGACGTTTTGATGCGACGATCCGCCGTTATTTTTCCGAGAGGCATGATATCGGTCTGTCGGGAAAAAAACGGCGGATCTTCGCGCCTCGGAGTCGCTCATCATCGCTTTGCGACTGCAAGCCGCGACTTGGGATTTGGTGCGCGATAGCGGCGAGGCGAGACATTTTGCTGCGACGATCCGCCGTTATTTTTCCGACAGACTGATAGTCCGTTCTTAAAGTCGCTGGAATGTTTTCGGCGACATGCACTCCGCGAAACCGAAAGTTCACTTTGCACTGTGCAATTTTTGGCTTTTTGCACAGTGCAATAGGCTTTTTGGGGCTGTCGCTCGCACCCTGAGTTTTCTTGCACAGTGCACATCGACAAAATCATTCCAGCGACTTTACGAACGGACTGATAAGAGTTTCACACACTTTGTTGCATTCATCCCTAAAAAAAATCAAAAAATTTTTGTTTACCTTCAAAATTCGCAAAAAACAATCTGATAACATGAACCCATTGCGCCGAAAAAAAACTGTACCGCGTCTTGTTTCAATTTCTCCCCCCATTCCGCGATTTTACTTCCGCACCGCGTCTTGGTCGGCTTTTTTCGAACGGGGGGTAATAAACGCCGCGACTTTTCCAGGAAAGCCCCCAGAACGTCGTAAAAAGTTTTTGGTCGTATCAGCGGAAATTAACTCACCTTATTCCTGGAATTCTCCATGCTTAAGTTATGTGTTTACGCGCTGCGCGCGCACCTCACTTTCGACGGCTTGAGGAGGGAAGGCAGGTACGGTAAATTTAGTTTGTTGTAACACAAATTTTGAGGAACTTGTTTTTTAAGGAACTGTGGGGTTTTTTGGGAATTTTTAAGGGAATTTGTGGGAATATCATATGAAAAGGCAAAAAATAAAATAAAAATTTGTTTTTGATTTTTTATTGATACTCAAAAAAAGTTTTTTTTTTTTAATTTTAGATACAAAAAATTTATTTTTTCTGGGTACATGATAGCTGGAAAAATTATAGAAATCCCATTTTTGATGATTTTTTTGTATTAAAAAACTTTTTAAAATATCGAAAATTGATCTTTTTTAACTTTATTTTCTAGAAATCAACCGAAAAAATAAAAAATAATAGCAAATTATAGAATTTTTGAACTAAAAATCAAAAAATCTCGTGTTGAAGACTCAAAAAAAAAAAAAAAAAATTTCCAAATTTGTGAAAAAATCAAAAAATCTCGTTTAAGATTTTTTTGTCGATATTCAGAATTTTTACGCAATTTTTAAAACATCAAACTTTCTTAAATTTCTACGTAATTTTTAGGAATGTGCTAAAAAATAAAAAAATATATTTTTTAAATAAACAAAACCTGGAAAAACAAAACAAAAAATTGCGTTTAAAAAGACTTGAATTCGGTAGTTTCTTTCTAGGTCAAAAGCACTTTTTAGCGCTGGATTTTTCAGACCCAGTTCAAAAAACCAAAAAATCTCGGTTCAAAGAAATCTTTTTTTTTATCCAAAATAATTTTTTTGCATTTCATATCCCAAAAATATTAAAATACCTTTACAGTACTACTTAATTTACAGGGGAAGTACTCCAAGTGCGACGCTCAGATTTAGACGAAACTTGGCATATATTTAGAATAATTCTTTCTAAGATGTATGCGAGAATCCTTGCTCGCGCTTTGCAGAAACGACCGAGATTTTTAGATTGAAAAGTCGGCGAAAGTTTCGAACTTTTTGTCGAATTTCGGTACGAAAAGTTTCATGCCTATTTCAACTGTAAAGATTTATTAGCGGATTTTCTTGATGATCAAGGGCAGACCTTTTTGTAGACTATAAATTTAAAATTTTCGAAAAAAAAACTTCGAAAAAACCCAGCGAAAGATCTGAAAACCCCCTTTTCTCTCGGATAAGCCTCTAAACAAGTGATCAGGTTCAACGTTTGATCTGCGTTAAAATTTTATCAGCTTTGTCGTGGAAGACTCAAGGGTAGGCGGAACTTTTTTTATCCGAAGTTAGGGCAATTAAAATAAAAAATTTGTGAGTTTGTAGTTATTTGAATATTTAGAATTTGTTTTTTTTAATTTACAATTAGAAGAGAGGTAAAAAATAATGTGGATTTGTCGCGCTTTGGAATCGGCCATCATCACTTTGCGACTGCAAGAAAGAGATCTATTTCTCGTCAACACGATCAGACACCGGGTCTCCTAATACGCTGTCCTAGACAAGCTCGGTAAAAGTTCCTTATTTTGGCCACAACTTATAACTTTGCGGAAACTGGTCGGAATTAGCCCAAATTTAGCGCGCACGCTCAATTCATCGTTGTCAATGCCCGGGCAGTGGATTTAGTTAGTGAGGTACCTTCTTTTTTACGTACCACCTTACCCTTCAAAAACGGCTGCAGCCTGTGATTTTACACTTTATACGATGAAATATGTCCGGAACTAAACTTATTGCCTCCGTATGAAACTAAATGTGTCGTCACAGCCTTCGTAGGTACCCTTAAAACTATAGAGCTATTATAGTAATTCAGTGCCAGCTAGGTCGAAGCGTTTTTCCTAACTTTAGTGCCCAAGCTTGGGCGCAGTTCGCGGAGTACCTTTGTTGTGGCCAAAATAAGGTACTTTTTCCAACCAGGCCAGCACACTCGATGTATTCCAATTGTCCACACGCGCTGACGGCCAACCGCTCGCTCAGGCTGCGACTTCCCAACTATGATCTTCCTTTCCTTCCAAATCCTCGGTTCGGTTGATTGCGGTGTCCTTTCGGGTTTCGTGGCGAGGCGCAGCGACCGGTTGAAGGCTGTTGCGGCGGCCGTGGCCTCACGCAAGCCGCGCCTTGCGATTTGAGGCGCGATAGCGTCGAGGCGAGACATTTTGCCGCGACAACCCGCCGTTATTTTCCCGACAGACTGATACTACATATACAGTATGCGTCATAATTATAACCGCACTTTAAAAATGAGTGTAACTTTTGTGGTTGTTAATATAAATGTGTCATATTTGGCACCAATGTGCATCAGTGTACTAGAAATGACGTCCCAAGAAATTATTTCGAAAGCTTTCCGTATTTTAGAAAAAAGCTGCAAAAACCAAAATTTTGGTACTTTTTGGTGCGTCAAAATTATAACCGCACTCGCGAATTTTGGCTATTAGTCTAATGAAAACACAGAATATCAATAACTGATGTTTAGCTACGCTTCCTGAGGCCTCAATAACGCCCATCACACGACTCGGAACCCTCTGGGCAAATTTTTTTGGCGCATCCTGGCCCATCTTGTGCCTGAATCGGAAAACGGCAGATTTTCGCTCAGTTACGGTAGAATACCGCTTGTTGTAGCGACGCAATTAACGAGGGAGGAGGCCCCACAAGTTTCCTATTGGATTTAAACCTAGGGAATATACGAGAGAATCTATGGTGGCAAATGCCTTGCTGTTAAACGAACTGGTATGCCGACCTGCAATGGTGGACGTGGGCATTCTCCAACAAAAGTATAGCCAGGTTGCCGGTACGATACCAGATGTTCGATTAAGACTTCGTAGTACTTAAGGCTATTCATTTGAGTCGCTGTGGCCGTCAACGGAAGGCCTCCGGCTTTTTTGAAGGCGCCCCAAACCATCAGCCGGCGGCCTCTATAATTACGGCATAAGAAGTAACGCGATTCGTTTTTAATCCCATGCCATTGGTATGTAAAACCGTCAAGGCTATCACGCGACTACCCAATCTACAAGGAATATTGTACTGCAACGGTCAAACCTCGGTTTCAGCGATCTTTCACTAGTCAACCTCTGTTGTGAATGTATCCTTGGCAACTTTCGGCCGCAGGTTGCCGTAAACTGGGGTCAGCTGGGGTCCCAACGTCACATAATGCCTTGTGATGACGTCGCTGTGTTTTCCGACCCTCAGCACGGTGATCCCGTTACTACTGGAGCTCAGATCTTGATTTAAGTGAACCCCAGAGATGGCAGAGTTAGAAGCCCGGCGGATTATTTCTTTTCAACCGGAAGCAGTGGTAAACTTTTGTCTGCCATAACATTTAGATTTGTTAAAAGCTTCCGAGGCGACCAGAAAGTTACTCACAACTTGGGCCTAACGGTCTAACTGCGCGAAAATCTGCCGTTTTCCGATTCAGGCACAAGATGGGCCAGGATGCGCCAAAAAAATTTGCCCAGAGGGTTCCGAGTCGTGTGATGGGCGTTATTGAGGCCTCAGGGAGCGTAGCTAAACATCAGATATTGATATTCTGTGTTTTCATTAGACTAATAGCCAAAATTCGCAAGTGCGGTTATAATTTTGACGCACCGAAAAGTACCAAAATTTTGGTTTTTGCAGCTTTTTTCTAAAATACGGAAACTCTTCAAAATAATTTTTAGAGACATCATTTCTAGTACACTGATGCACATTGGTGCCAAATATGACACATTTCTATTCACAATCACAAAAGTTACACTCATTTTTAAAGTGCGGTTATAATTATGACGCATACTGTAGTTTGTACTAGGCTGGCGGTGCAAGATAATTCTTATCAAAAAGGCAGTCAATGCTTTCGTTATCGCGAACCAAACTACACAGTGCCTTGTTCTTGTCGCTCAAAGCCATTTAGCGATAACTACCGCAAAAAATACTAGTCTTTTCATAAAATGTTTAGACTTTCCGTCGCAAATTTTTTGCACTTTTTGCACTATGCATTTGACCTTTTGCACCGTGCAATTCAAAAGTCGATTTTTTTCAAAATTGAGGAGTCCGGTGACCGGAATAGACTCTTCGCTATCGGTTTTTTACACTTCGTCTTGATTTCGCGGAGAGAGAGAGAGAGAGAGAGAGAGAGAGAGAGAGAGAGAGAGAGAGAGAGAGAGAGAGAGAGAGAGAGAGAGAGAGAGAGAGAGAGAGAGAGAGAGAGAGAGAGAGAGAGAGAGAGAGAGAGAGAGAGAGAGAAAAAAGATACGCAAAAGCGTACTCTCTCGCCCCAAAAATTCCCCATTTCTTCCCCGACAAAACGTTTCTTTCGCGTTTTTTTTCGCAAATTGCCAATCTATTCATCGGGCTGTTTTAGCTTATTTTGGGCGCGCGACAATAATTGCACAGTGCAAAAAAAAAGAAAAAACATGCAACGCAAAAAAGTCTACGCACTTTATGGAACGACTAATAAAGACATGTCCAGACTTTTTTTGAAGCTTCTTTTCCGGGCAATTTACTAAAATTTTGGCGATTTGTCGGGCAAAAAAGTCGTAAAAGTAAAAAAATAAATCAAAATAAATTTTCAAAATATTTTTTTTTATTTTTTTCCGATCTTTTTTGTGACCTCAATTTTGCTTTTAAAAATCGAAAAAATAAATTCGATACCATTATTTCTTCTAACTGTTAAGAAAAACGTTTTTTTGATACACTTATATCTCGTCGTATTTATTAGGTTGTCCCATAAATAGTGTCCCTCTTCGAGAGGGGCAAAATCAAACGTCTATAAAAAACGTCAGCATCAGCCAAATTTCGCAATGTTACTACCATTTTATAGCTGCGATCTCAGGCTTTCGTTTAATGTATCGCATGCTATATTTGGGAGAAATTACAGTAATCTAGCGCCAATTCAAAATTGTGGAAAAAAGGTAGATCCGTGCCATCAACTTGTGTGAGTAAAAACAGGGTGCTGAGGTTTCAGAAGCTAAACGAAATATCAACATCATGTTTAGCTAGTGTGTTATGAGCCCGGTGACGGTGAAACGATGGTTTTAAAAAATTCGACCTGGCCGCGGGAACCCACAAGACAAAATGCGTCCTCTCAGCTTTGCGAATTTACCCTGAGGTCATTGGTAGACAAAAATCATGAAATCAACATTCGACGCCTTTCTGGGATCGTGGTGGTATCATAATTACCAACGGTTAACAGTTCGATGTCGATAGTTTCAAGAAAAAGCTCGACAAATTCTTCCCATATTAGTGGACCAAAGCCCAGAATGAAGGCACCGGGTTTTTTGCTTTTCCGAACCAAACATCCATATTTCCTCGATCGTATCATTGCTTGTAGTGAAAAGTGGATTAACTACGACACCTAGACAAGATTTGGTCAATGAAGCACCCCGGAGTACTACCACAGCACTTCGCAAATTCTAAGTTCCACTAGAAGACGGTCACGACCACTTTTTGATGGCGCAACGTTTGCTTCGCACAGTACAAATTCCTAGAACCTAGGCAAACAGTAAATAGCATCCTCTACTGTATCTACACAGACAATTTGTGGCACAATCTGCCTTCAGCAATACACTGCAGAGGTCCGAAAGTTCTTGATGGGAACGCGCAACCTTACCTTGCACAAATGACCCTCCGGAATCCAAATTAACAGAGATACGAGACTCTCCCCCATTAGGCGTATTCGTCAAACGTAGCCTATACAGATTACAACCTGTTCAAGGATCTAACACGTTTCATCCGTGGTAGGGAATTCGTCAATTAAGACACCCTTCAAAAGGCCTTTGAAAGTTTCATCGGCTCCAGAATCCGGAGTTTTGAAGCTACCGGCATAAGAAAGCTCTTGATACATTCTACTAAACCTGCTCAAACAGATGATAATCATTTTGATTAAATAGATGGCTGTTACTGCGGTAAATTTTGTAGTTTAAGGAAATATTCGGAAGAGGGACACTATTTATGGGACAACCTAATATCATCGTTTAGCCTACACGCTTCGAATCACACCAATCACAAACTTAGTTCGCATTCGTGTCGCGGTTTCCTCTGTTTGCACTAGGTTTAACCCGACCGATTTATTGGCCCTTTTTGATTAGAATTTGTAATATTTCGATGGCTAGGACTGTAGTCTGAACTGTTTTGGTCATTGTTTGCGTAATCTTTTTTTGAAACTCAAACTATTATACAAGACTAATCGTAAAAATATAAATTAGGGATCTCAGAAATCGGCTGTTTTTTTCAGTTTTATAGGGGTTTTCACGGTTTTTTTACAAGTAGAAATTGTAGGGACTTTCGTCAATGTGCGACGCTCAGATTTCATTAAAACCTGGCTTATATACGAGGTTAGTAGACCGAGATTTTTTGGCCGAAGATCGACAAAAATCTAAAAAAAAAGGTTCATTTTTTCGAATTTTGGCATGAAAAGTTTCATGTCTATTTCTACTGTAGAGAGTAATGTTTCCACAAAAAATCATTTTTTCCCTCACGAAACTAGCAAAGTTATAGTCGAAAAATGTTGTTCTCAGTTCATATTTTGTGCGATCTCTCCTGGGCTAAAAATCGTTGAATATCAAAAACAAGAATTTTTTAGGCTAGTTCTGACGTGTATGTAAATAAAATATTATAAAAATAAAAATCGTTTCACCTCGAGCACTTCCCTTGTTACTCGGAAAAAGGTGAAAAATGGGGAATTTCGAATAAATTTGCCTTATAGTTTTGTCGGAACTGGGGGGTTTCCACACTTTTTTTAGCGACCAATAGTGTTTTGCTAGACATCCGGACTTTTTGAACCATCAAAAAATGATTTTTTGGATTTTTAAAATTCACGGAAAGTGCAATGCTTAGATTTTTTGAAGTATAGACCATAATAAGACCACGTTTTATAGCTTTATTTCAATTTTTGAAAAGTTTAGCTCAGCCGAAATATTTTGTTGGCCATATCTCTGCCATCTTTCCTCGAAGAAAGTTGATTTTTTTATAGAAACGATCATTCTATTATATTTTATATCATAGAAAATATACCCCAATTGCGATGCGCAGATTTCGATAAAACTTGGCACAAATTTAAAATAACGTTTTTTAGAATATCTGCGAAAGTTTTAGATCGCGCTTTGCAGAAACAACCGAGATTTTTAAATCGAAAGTCGGGAAAAATTGACACTTTTTACCGAATTTTGGCACTAAAAGTTTCAT